CGTCTAGTAATTGTTCAATTAAATTCACGTGTTTCCGAGGACCATCAAAAATGTAAACACATGGTATGTCCATACCAAACCTCCACCCCGATCGACTGCCTTTCCACATACTTCTACCGATCCTTGGTTCGTAAGACTGTCTGCTTTGGTCTTCATATTGATAAAACATGTGTTCCTGACGTTTTCTCTGATAGGCGGCTTAATACGGACACCTGGATAATATGGACACTATGGCATGTCCCCTTGGTGTCCATATTAACCCGGTTCCACTGTAATCTGCCTCACTGAGAATGTAAACAAAACCTCTTGTTGTTCCACACCCAAGTGCAGCAGTATGTTTCCTTAGTTGTTGAAGTGCTACAGTTTGTTGTTTTTTCCTCGACTTTCTTACTTGATTCAGGCCAGAAATTGAAGGTGACTAATGATTTATTATGATGGTTTAAGTGCAATACACCAGAGTTTATATTTACCCTAATATTTTTTTAGGCAGTTTTGTAACTCCCTATCCCAAGTAGAATTATATGTAGCAATTGCTTGAAACCAGTACGTTGTGTTTGATGAATAAAGTTCCCTGATTTTGAACTAGAAATAATTTTGACAACTTTGATGGCTAAGTTCTTGCGTGTGCCATCAAGATAACAATAATACACGCTAATTTTACATATGTTTTCATCTGGACAAACGAAACTGTCCTTAGTATACGAGTGTTTGCTTCCATTTTATTTATAATATTTCTTTCTATACTTTCAGGTCAGTTGATACCCACTAGAGTTGAGACAGTGGGCCTCGGGGGAACTATAAATATTACGTTTGCTTGTAGTGGGTGCCAGTTGAGAAGCGTCTCCTTTCAAGGGTCATCTATGGTTGAAGCCTCAAGGAGAACTCTTGTTGGCCTAACCCTTGCTTTGCCATTCATTGTTTCTGGCCATGGTTTTGCAAAGTTCCATAGAACTCTCAACCAGTGTCTTGGTATTCAAGGCATATCAGAGAATCGATTTTATGAGGTGGTCCAACTGATATATCCTCATATTCATGACATTTTAACTGAAATGTGTGATGAAGAAAAGGAAAACATGAAGAAGATTGACAACAATGTTTTAGGAAGTTGGCAACAAGGAGTTGTTACCTTTGATGGAGTCTGGCACGCAAGAGGATATTTTAGCAAAAATGGTTCTTTCATTGTAAAAAATTATCTAATGGGAGGTTTACTGTGGTTTGGACATAAGTGTATGCGGGGAAATTCAGAGGATGATGGTTTGTTTATGGGTACTGCAAAATCAATGGAAGGCATTCTTGCTGGGGAATGTTACCGACAGGCTAAAGATGAAGGTTGCAACATAGAGGTGGTATGGCAGGATGGCGATTCAAGTTCCCAGAAGTCGGTTGAAGAGGTTTTTGGAGCTGAGCCCAGGAGGGTGTTTAAGTGTGGGGGTCATGTTGGAAGGGCTCATGTGAACAGTTTGAAAGACTTGGCCAAACCAAAGGTTTTTTCACCTGCACAAATTAGTAAATGGAAAGCTACATTCCCTGCTATAGAATCAGCAAAGTGTGCATGTAAGCGACAAGCAAAACCTGTGGTTGTTTGTCGGATGCATTTATTCAGGGTACACAGTTGAACCACTTCTGCTGTTTGCAGCAGTGCAAGAGTCCTGATGAGTATGCAAGGCGTATCAGGAGCCTGGGGGGTCATCATTGAAAAGACGAACACAAGTGGGATGATGGGGAAAGTGATTTTCACCCAAGTATTGTTTGTTCTTGTGGAAAATGCAAGAAGGATGAGATATCATACAAGGGAAAGGCGTACACCACCAAGTCAGTGCTCCAGTGTGAGTTCCATCAGTTAGCATACCTAACTTCGAGCAAATGATGCCGAATCTGTAATTCACCCTGAACTGGGAAGAGGATATTTGAATTTGTGCGACGCTCATTTCACTGTTCTGCCTCATTTCAGAGCCAAGGACCAAAGCTTGTGCAGGTATTTACAAGCCCTAGAATTAATGTAATGTAATGTAAAGGGTCAAATTTTAATTTTGGGTCAATTTTTTTTTTTACCTGGATTGACTCAATTTTCTCTGTTTCAGGGGAATTGAGAAACAACTTAGATTACATCAAAATTAAACTGAAATGCACTTTGATCTGTAACATACAGTATAATGTCGCTTGAATCAGGATTTTTCCCTGACATTTGGAAAGAGTCGATTGTTACACCACTGCTAAAAAAACAAGGTCTTGACTTGGTTTTTAAAAACTTTCGACCGATCAGCAATCTTTCCTTTGTTTCAAAATTGGCTGAAAGAGTGGCAGCTGATCAGATTCAGTCCTACTTAAATGAGCATGATCTTTTTCCTTCATTGCAATCAGCCTATCGACGGCACCATAGCACAGAAACTGCCCTGCTTAAAGTCAAGAATGACATTCTGATGAACATGGAAAATCAGAAGGTCACGTTGTTAGTGCTTCTTGATTTAAGCGCGCGCGTTTGATACCGGGACCATAGGATTCTCTTAGATCGCCTTCAGTTTGATTTTGGAATTTCAGGCTCTGCACTTAATTGGATTGAATCGTACCTTTCTAACAGAACCCAGCGCATCTATATAGACGGAGTTCTATCGAGTAATTTTAATCTTAAATTTGGAGTTCCACAAGGCAGCTGTCTCGGGCCATTATTGTTTTCCTCTATGCTAGTAAACTTTTTAAGATCGTCGAATCACATCTTCCTAATACCCATTGTTATGCAGATGACACGCAACTGTACATCGCGTTTAGATCAGGAAATGATTTGGAGGAGACCGCTGCTATAACTGCCATGGAATCATGTATTGCTGATATCAGTAGATGGATGCATTCGGATAAGTTAAAACTGAATTCGATAAGACAGAATGTCTTCTGATTGGAACACGACAACAACTTCAGAAAGTCAGTAACATTAGTACCTTATCGGTTGGGGACTCCCAAATTGCTCCATCTTCTGAAGTTCGAAACCTAGGAGCTTGGTTTGATTCTAAAATGAGTATGCTAAGTCATATCAACAAAACTTGCTCATCCGCTTTCAATTATCTTTATAACATGCGAGAATTAGGAAATATTTAAGTCGTTCAGTCACCGAATCATTAGTTCATGCTTTTATCACCAGTAGAATAGATTATTGTAACAGTCTACTATATGGCCTCCAATTCACATATCATGAAACTCCAACGGATACAGAATGCCGCGGCTCGGTTGGTCACCGAACACCTAGATTCTGCCATGTTTCACCATTGCTTTTCCACCTTCATTGGCTTCCAATAAGTTACCGTATAAAGTTTAAGATTCTACTTTTGACATTTAAGTGCTTATATGGTCAAGCTCCTAATTATCTAATTGATTTCATTACTACCAAAAAGCAATCCAAGTACTCTCTAAGGTCAAATGAGTCTATATTCCTCGAGTTACCATGCATTAAGACCCATCCAACTCTTGGCGATCGTGCATTCCAGTCAGCTGCACCTTATCTCTGGAATGCATTACCTTCGGAAATTCGCAACATGAAGACATTGGACACTTTTAAGACTGCTGTTAAAACTCATTTTTTCAATTTAGCTTTTAAATAGATTTAATTGTTGGCTTTTATAATAGTTTTTTTTTTTTTTTTTTTTTTTTTTTTTATTATCATTATTTATTTATTTATTTTTATTTATAGTTTTTAATACTTTTTATTGTAGTTTTTAATAGTTGCTCATGCCTTAGTCACCTTTAACATAAATTTAATATAACAATATTGTAAAGCGCAACCGAATATATTCATATAGAGGTTTGCGCTATATAAATGTAAATTATTATTATTATAACACTATAATAATAATATTATCAGTGATTGTAGTATTTTAAGTTCCTCTGTAGGTTTGCTAGTCTTGTTCATGCTTCCTGATAATTTGCTTTCCCATCATAATTTAATTTTGTGGATGTTGGTCAAAACTAACAGTGGCTTTGTACACAGGGTTTAATTAAAATTGGTGGACCGAGGGTTTGACTAGTCTAAGAGAAATTGACTGCATCAGCAATATTTGAATCAATTCTTATGTATTTGCTACAATTTAGAAATAAAAGTAGTGAACGATCTTGTTTAGGCACTATATTATTAGAGATTTGTTACGAAAATAAACAAAATACGAAAAAATGGGAAACTGCCAACTGATTTTCCTGGTGATGATCTCTCTGTAGGCTACATTACATAACATCAACAAACTGTGGACTTGCCCAGGGAACGATGACCTGGTATTTCCATAATTCTGAAGCTGAGTACAACTGGATCATTGATTTATATGACTGCTTGAATCTGCCTATCCTACCTGAAGTTGTGTGAGCCTTCCAAAAGGCCACTTAGGAGCGAATAAAGTAGTTACAGAAGAACAAAACCGATGAAACAAAACAAAAGAGGGTCTCACAGAAAATTGCATGTGCAGAAGACCTGGAAGAATGGAAACAATGGGTCAAGCGCTAAGCCATACTTCACACCTATGGTGTAGAGGATGAAGAGGATGAAAGTGGAGAGGACAGAACCTTGGTTCAAGAAGCAGAATGTATGGTAGGAGGAGAGGAGACCGTAGTAGTTAGTGGATGAAAATGTAGGTATGGTTCCACAACTCACCAGCGTACATCAAGTCGCCTGTGTCCACTCAACAAGGCCAATGCTGAGTGAAAGCATTTTAGGCATTTTTTGTATTTATTTTTAACATGCATGTGCTCTCACTGCGATACCTGCATAATTTGGCATTACTTCAATGAAAGAGATCTGTTCTGGTAAAAGCAACGCATGTTTTTATGCTCGGTGCGTTGGGAATTATGCGTGCGAATGGAGGTTACATAATGCGTACTGCATTCAGGCGTGTTCATCACGCTTATTGTTGGGTTGTGTTTAAGTAGGTTCACCACGTGTTGTGCTCTTACTTTAGGTCATTTCAGTGGGTGTAATCGACCATCACTTAGTTTCTTGCTTGCTTATCATGTCTGATAAGGAAGGCATGGAGGATCCCAAAGTTATCTCTGTTGGGTCCTTTGAAGACTTAAGGTCTTACTTTGATCTAAAATTTTCACATTTAAAGCGTGAGCTTTCTGATGATCAACTCAAATTGTCTTCATCCTTGGTGAAGAAACTTAAGACCGAAACGAGCTTAAGCTTCAAGTTTAGCGGCAACAAGAAGCAGTTCGAGTTTAATACTGAGAGTTTGGAACACGTCACTCAGAGTCTTTCTTTTGTCGATTCGCTGAAATCTCTGGTCGATCTTGAAAACTCTGAGAATCATCAAGTTTCAGTGCTGATTCTTAAGCTCGACGATTCCCTCAACGTTGCTTCAAAGGCCATAAAGCGAAGAAACAAGCTCATCAGAATAGCGGATAAATCGGAAGCTGGCTGGGCCGCAGTCGACGAGTATCTTTCTGACGAAGTCGCTTCTGGTTCTGAAGACGAAAAGAAGATCCATGCTGCGGAGCAGAGGGCGTTGCGAAACAAGAAGAACGCTCGCAGTGCGAAGTCGGGACAGAAGTTGAGTATTTTATCTGTTATTTTTATTCGTTTCCTTTGCCCGTTCTTTATTTTATTTAGCGTTTAGGAGGTATTATACCACTGCCGACCTATTCCTCCTATACAATAAATTCATAATTGTGTATTTGCTTGTGTGTGTTTCATTATTACAGAGTTTAGAGCATAAATAAGTTATTTTCGGTACGTAGTTTAGAAAATAAATGTTTTTATGCTCGGTGCATTGGGAATTATGCATGCGAATGGAGGTTACGTAATGCGTACTGCATTCAGGCGTGTTCATCACGCTTATTGTTGGGTTGTGTTTAAATAGGTTCACCACGTGTTGTGCTCTTACTTTAGGTCATTTCAGTGGGTGTAATCGACCGTCACTTAGTTTTCCTCTTTCTTCCTTTTTTCTTTACAGGTCATTCAGCATCCAGAGACTTCCTCGGGGTTTTCATCGGCTGTCTCCTCTATCACTCCAAGAAATGTTACTAATTTTTGTCCTCAAACGTCAAAGGGCGCCTTTGTCAAAGGCCATTGTGACATCTGCTTCGCCTGCGGAAAGACCGGCCATTGGAGAGCAAGTTGCCCCAACTTATTCTTCACTCCCGGATCAACCTACAAACAGATCCAAAGCTTGTCAAGTAAAGACAGCGGTTTTTCTGGGCAGCAGTAGTTCCATTGCTGATAGTAAAGCAGTAAAAGAAACTCTTGAAGGTATTTTTGACGAAGGCCCAGCTTTAGAGGAGTGTTTTGAATTTGAGAATTCTCCCAACAGTATTCAATCGGTAAAGGGTAGGCTTAAAGCTCATTTTAGTTTTTGGGCGGATACGTTAGGTGCAAATGATTTCATTCTCCGGGTTATGGACAAGGGGTATGCCATACCCTTTATAACATTTCCTCAGAATGCGTTTTTCGCCAATAACCATTCAGCACTTACGCACGCTGATTTTGTTTTGAAGGCTATTCAAGAGCTTATTTTGTCAGGTTTAGTTGTTCAAGTATCTAGTCCTCCTCATGTTGTCAATCCCTTGTCTGTTTCCATACAGAGTTGCGGCAAGAAGAGGTTGATTTTAGACCTCAGGCATGTCAATAAACATATCTAGAAAGAAAAGTTTAAGTTTGAGGATATTATAAACGCTTGTGTTTATCTTCCTTCCGATCATTTCATGTTTAAATTTGATCTCAAATCTGGCTACCACCATATTGATATTTTGCAGGATCATCAAACTTTTTTAGGGTTTTCTTGGGTTGTTAATGGCGTAAGGAAGTTTTTTGTGTTTACAGTTCTCCCTTTTGGGCTGTCCTCAGCTCCTTATATTTTCACTACGGTTGTTCGTGTTCTCGTCCGATATTGGAGAAGTCATGCTGTGAGAATAACAGTTTACCTTGATGACGGGCCATGATTTCGCTCGCTGCGAAGCTGCTTCATTATTTGTTAAGACTTCGCTTCAGCTTTCTGGTTTCCTGCCTAATGACAGTAAATCGATTTGGCAACCAACTTCTTGTTTAGTCTGGTTGGGTTATTGTGTTGATTTAGCCGTTCATACTATTTCCATTCCTTCAGTTAGGATTCTCAGTGTCAGTATCATCTAGTACTGCTAGAAAATTGGCTCAGTTTGTTGGTAAGGTTATCTCTATGGGTTTCGTCTTTGGTAACATTACTCGTATTATGACAAGGTATTCTCATTTTGATATTTTAAGAAGCCCTACATGGGACGAAAAAATTTCCCTGTCTGGTTCAACTCTGAAGAAATTATGTTTTCGGAAAGAGAACATTCCTTCCCTAAATAGTAGACGCCTCTCGTCTACACAGTTCCATTATTCCCGTGTGTGTTATTGCGATGCGACTTCTACAGGCTGCGCCAGTTATATGTTAGATCTTCACAACACCATTTCTCACAAGTTGTGGAGTGTTGATGAGGCGCAGAAGAGCTCCTCTTACAGGGAACTTAAGGCCGTTTCCCTGGGTCTAGAATCTTTTTTGCCTTTACTTAAAGGGCGCACTATTAAGTGGTATACTGACAATCAGAGTGTTGCTAGAATCGTTGAAGTAGGAAGCATGAAGGAAGATTTGCAATGCTTAGCTTTGCATATTTTTAGTATGTGCTTGCTCAGTTGAATGGATTCCGAGATCGGCTAATGATAGAGCTGATTTTTTAAGCAGGATTGTGGATTATGATGATTGGCGAGTCAACAGGGACTATTTCCTTTTGGCCGAAGAGAAATGGGGTCCTCACTCTGTGGACCGGTTTGCGAATCATGAGAATAGTCAGTTGCCCTGTTTTAATAGCAGGTTTTGGTGCCCTGGTACAGAGGCAGTTGATGCCTTTTCTGTTTCTTGGGCGGGCGAGAATAATTGGCTCGTTCCACCTATTTTTCTGATCCCCAAGGTCCTTAATCACATGGTTGCCCTTGGTGGTCGCGCTACACTTGTTGTTCCTGCTTGGCCTTCCGCCCCATTTTGGCCTTTAATTTTTACTGATGAGGGTTTGTCTCCCATATTCTCTGATATTTTTGAGATCCCCTTAGGTACTGATGTTTTCGTTTTGGGTAACTATAAAAATTCCCTTTTTGGATCACCTAATTTTCGTTCAGGGGTTTTGTTCTTGCGGTTTTCCTAGAGAGGCCTTAGTTTACCCCCCCCCCCCCTTTTTTCAGTCTTGTAGGGGGTTTTTCTCTGCAGTTTATAGAGTTCTTACGCTCATACCACATGGTATCCGAGTATTTTGGGATGCACTTGGATCCTTGTTTTGTGGACCATTTGGTCTTTTTTATTATGCAAGAGCCACTTTGGCCCTTAGTGCTAATATTTTTCTGTGTTTTTCTTGGGACCACTTGGACCCAACCTTACCTTGTTTCACTACGTGTTGTGTTTTTCTGATATATTTTTTCTTTGGTCATTTTTGTCATTTTATTTTCTCTATTTTTTGCTTCAGATGTTAAAGCAGCTGCCAGTCGGACGTTTGGCGTTTTACTTTGTGAGAAGTTTTGGCTCTCTGCCTTTAATTCTCGAGCTGATAACACAGTTATTAATTATTGTAAATCATTTTGTAAGTTTAAAGCGTGGTGCTTGCAGAGCACTGGGGAGGTTTCTTTTCTCCCAGCTACTTCGTTCACAGTTTCCTTGTATTTGCATCATTTATTAGAAAATTCGTTAGGTAGTTCCACCATTTACAGCGTTTTTTACGCTATTTACTGGGTACATAAGTTATCAGGTTTTGAGAATCCCAATCCGTGTGACAACTTTCTTGTCAGGTCTATTGTTGAGGCTTCCAGTCGTGCTCCTCGTAAACCTGTCAGGAAGGCGGAGCCCATTACCCCAGAGATCCTTGGCTTAATTTTGCAGCGTTATGGGGAAAGTAGTAACTTACTTGATATCAGGTTTGTCTGTATGTGTTTACTCGCATATGCTGGCTTTTTCCGCATTTCCGAGCTTTTCAGTAATGGTCCGTGTAAGAGGTAGGCAGGCGAACGGCAAAAGTGATTAAAAGGTGCTAACTTTTAATCATTAATTTCAATTAAATCAAGCCTTCTGATTGGCCGAAATCCAAAAATCGCCAAAAAAAACAGTCAGAAACGTGACAAAAACACCGTTTTTTAGCTTTATTTTCCCCATTCCCCTGTCTTATACCTCACGGCCAAGTTTCAGCATTGTTCTATGCGCCAATCAAAAGTTAGGACGGAAAACGTGCAACACACGCGCGACCTTGTTGTGACCCCATCTTAGTGCGACACTTGAGATGTTAGGAAATTTGTCTTTTACCCGAAGAAATCTCGTCAATTTCTTCATGAAAAATCTGCATTTTTTCTTTATTGAATATTTATCACAAATTTACTGTATTTTATCATCGGAGTGATTGTCAAAATGGTCTTAAACATGGTTTGCTGCCTTCCTCGACATGCCGAGTCGCCATGTGGAAATTTGGGCCCGGCGTAGTTGTTTTCGTTGTCAGGCCGGATCAGGAGGAGATCGCAATAATTGTGGCACTAGAAATTGGAGTACAGCTGGGCATAAAAGGAGAAAGCGAAAGATTTGTTGTTTTTACAAGGATCAATTTATTTCTCGAAGAGATGTAGAACACTTGAGCTTGAGGCACAGGCGGCCCAGACGTATGTAGTATGTGTCACTGAATGAATATATTAATATTCACATGGACAAATTAATGCGATGAGTCGTCGAAACTCCAATGAACTAAAATAGTCCAAAAATTAAAATATAACAAAATAAAGCTAAGATACCTTTAACTGAACGTATCCTTGTCTTTCCTGGCCGGTTTAAGTGGCATTTTGTTGAGTTTTGCAATTGTAGGTACTATCCACTATAGAAGAATTAAAGGCTGGCTACAAAACAAACAGACCATCTCCACGCGCCTTCACACGAAGCGCTATAAATTCGAGAATAATCGACAAATCCGCTCCAAATAACCATCGGCTAATCTGCAGGTAACGTGTGCTCCTGCTTCTGGCTCGCTTGCTCCACAAAACCCATCGCAACTGCACAATAATTGCTTGCTCATCAACAACCACTGTTGACCTTTACACTTCGATATGACTGCAAACGACCAGGTATAATACGCGTATTAAATCTCCATGAATGCACAGTTTTCTAAATAGAAACAATTTCTGTATATAAAGATCCTGTTCTGGTGAGTTTCAGAACAAAATAGTGTTTTTAATTTTTCCCATATTGAAATACCCTGAGAATTATTTAATACTCGTTCACTGTTGATTATAATAAAAAAAATTCCCGATGATTATTACTTCGTTATTCTAATGTCAGATAATAATACTCTATTCTAGTTCTTTTTCTTCTCCTTTTTGGCGGAAGGCCATTTAGCTTTGGCCAGGTCACCCAATGTTCACCTTGAAAACCTGGAAAAAATAATCAAAATGAAATCTATGCCATGTTGGCTATTTCGGTGGAAAAAGTATTGATATCACAATCTTGTTCAGAGGTCAACTCTCCCTGTTTTCAACTCTCCCCTCAGTGCTCCCAGAGTTTGTGGCAAATGAGCAAAAGGGCTCAATGTAGCTGGGATGTTACATTTCAAGCGGCCGTTATTCTCTTTTGGATTTTACTTTGTAAATAATAAACAAAAATCCATCCCCTATACTAGGAAACTATAGTTACCCCTACATGTGTGGGATCTGGAGTATCCACCAGCTGATCACCAGAGATTATTTCCCTCGCAACTTTCTTCAGAGAGGGAGGATAAACATAAGTGTGCTGGCATCCCACAACTGCCCCCAGCTTCTTGCCACTTCCAAACTGCATTGAAAAGAAAATCATTGTATGGCTGGTGTTAGTTTTAACGTACCTAATCAGTTCAGCAGTCACAAAATAATCTAGGTACTTGAAATAAAAGAGTTTGGGAAGAATTTCACATTGGGAAGAAGAGTTTTAATAGTCTCAGATTTTATTTTTTCGAAAGTTGCATGAAACTTAGGAGACAAACATACTGCAAAAATACAGGGCAATACAATCCTGTCTGGAAGATACTCCGTCTCAACACTATTATGTTGGGAGAACAAATAATGATCAAGACAGTCGCAAATACATGACAAGAAAGCGTTAAAACACAAAGAAGTGCCCAGAGGCGTCTGTATAGCCTATGCTGGGCTTGATCCAGCATTTCCCCAGGCTTGAGCGCAAATGCCCTAAACAAACGAATCAGGCCATCAGGCACTTAGAGTCTACAATGTTTAAAATAAACGATTCCCTAATCCAATTAGTGATTTAGATTTAGCAAAACCGATCTTTTTTACTTGCCTGTTTCACACAAACTCGGCCTCGAAAGCCTGAAAAGCTGCGTCTTTACTCACATTGCTGATAGCTGAATCCCCCATTTTGTTCTTCAACTGGAATGGGAGGGAGAAGCCGCCTACTAGAATTTTGCATCCTCATCAATTTTCCTTGTAACTGATCCAGTCTCATTCTTGGTCAACGGAGCAGACTTCCAGTAAAAATGTCGAAGTTTAAAAAATCATAAAATATTTTCTGTTTATCGTATCAAGACAAAAACAAATTATTTGAATGTGTGATATCAGCTTTCATCAGGCCTAAATGATAATTAGTTCTGAGAATCAAAAATCAGGCAGTGCAACTACCTTAAGACATATGTCCTGAAAATTATGACAACTACTTACAGCTAGCTTGCGGCAGGCATTAGACACAACAAACTTTCAAACAAAAATTCTGATGACTGCTCTCTCATCTCTTTAGCCACTAAATGGCTATGCTACTAAAGGAACCGCCTGATAAATTTAACACAGATCATTCCAGATAAATTCCCTACTTTTGTCCCATCAAACATGACTACTGGCAATGATGTCAATTTTTGTGAACTGAAATTGCTTATTTTGTTTTAAGCTTGTAGATGGGATGTATAAGTATGGGTTGTGCCTGGACAGGATGATAAAATAGGCTATTCAAGAAGTGGAAAAACACTTCTTTGATCGAGCCATAAAGCTTTTTCGAGAAGGTAAAACGTCTGTGTTTGTCTTAAACAACATAGACTGGGATGACACGCACTCTCACAATCAGAATAAAAACGTCCATGCTGTGGCAAGCAGTATAGTTTGTGACCGTCTCAGCTCTAAGCACTTGCCAGATGATGTCCCAAAAAGAAATCTGGGTAGTACCAATGTGATAGATCTGAGGTTGAAAGACGAGGACAGAAGATCTAAAAGGGAACAATATAAGATTTTTCTGGAAAGATCTTGTGCGATCAGTTCCCCGCATTTGACTTCCTCACAGGTGTTTTTCCCACATGGACACCTTGTCAGTATGAGGCAGAAATGGCTTTGCAGTCAGTGGTAGTTCCCATGCTGGTTTTGATCAACAATGAAAAAAAGTACTCTGATTCGGGTGATGTACTGGACCAATTGGAGGTTTGGGTGAAGGAAGTACATACCAAAGCTGGACTATGTGCCCCACCTGTAGGAGAACATGTTCCACCCGCATCACAAATTGCGGACCCTTCAAGGGCAGATGAACCAGCTTTCCATATTCCACCTATTCCACAAGCTGATGATCCTCTAGCAAAAGTGAAAATCCCTTGCTTTGGTGACCAGCTTACCAGAGTGCGACTGGCTTGTGCAAAAAATCTAAGAGCAAGCAGCCATACAGCACAGGATAGGCTGGATCACCTTTATCCATTCAGGATAGTAGACTGGCATACCAAAAGGAGCTTTCTTAAGGTAAAAAAAGAGAAATTCTAGGAGTAGAAATGTTGAAATGTAAAAACAGGCAGCGTCGGATAAAAACAGAAAGCGTCTTAACTCGATGAAAGTGTGAAAAGAATGATCAGTAATCGATACTCGCCTCTATTTCATACGGGCTCAACTCCCTAGAGGGAGTATGCTAAAAATGCACCATCCTAACCCATCTAATACATCACGCCAACTTTCTTTACAGCCTCACACATAGGTACAGAAAGATATACTAAACAACAATTCGTTCGACTGTCTCAGGATTTAGTTACTATTATCGAAAAACGTTTTGTAAGTTTATTTGACATTATAAGAAAACTTTACAAATAAACAGTTTTTGTAACCACCTGACAATTTACACGTTATATACAAGGTTCATGTCCAAGTCTCTCAGTTATTTCAAGGCTGTAACATTTTGCATGTTACATTTCGCGTTAAAAATATTGTTTCATTTTGCATCAAAAAGTTGTTACATTTTGCGTCAATTGTTACATTTTGCGGCGTAACACACGTGACCAGACCCAACCAGGGTCTCTCTCTCTCTTGCTTCACAGGGACGGGTAGGAGAGAACCCTGGGAATTAGCTTGGCGCTTTTGCAGGATTTGAAATATGATCAGTTTGTCAAGTGCAAGGAATGACATATCTTTGGTCATAGTGCCATATTGTGAGTAAATACATCTGAAAAAGCAATAAAATTAAATTGTTCCTTGAAGTTTTGTTTTATTTTGCACCTTTTTTTCTTTAAATGTGGACTCAACACATAACTTACAAGTTGTTATAAGAGTTACACGAGAGATATAACTACCACTACGTTGGTGGACAGCTCAAATCGAGGGTAAGGTTTACTAGTACTTTGAACATTTTTGAGTATTGGGCTGTTGCGTCTTTACTCTAAACTTCAAAACCATTCTACATTGTTGCTCATATTGGTGGTTATTGCTTTGAGAAACTGGAGATGGAATGTGGCCAATGTGACCACAGACTTAGCACTAGGGTTCTCTTTTTTTGAAGACAGAAAAAGTTAGTGAATTTCGCATTTTTAGTAATACTGTAATCCTAAGACCCAGTCAGTAAAAAGTCCAATATTTTTCACTGGTTACCAGGTAAGGAACCATTCATAGCCAGTAAGGCGAAACATGTGCACCGGAGGGGGAGTGAGGGACTTGGCCCTGCCCTTGTTGGAAAATTTAGGAGGTAAGTTATTTGAATCGTCATTCCTTCATTTTAACATCTATTTTATGCAAATCGGCCATCGGTATCTTTAGATAACAATTTACAACGTTTTGATTCCAATAGTTTACTCTGTCTTCAATGTTCTCTTTCTAAAATGTGTGGCCCATTAACTCATTTGCCCATCGGGCAAGTGAAGAACATAGTTCACTAGCCCGAGGCTAGTTGCAAGTTGTCAAAGGGAAAGCAGTTGTATAACTACCTTTTCCCTTTTAGGCAGTATTAATCTGGTGCAGATATTCTATGTACTCTATTTTCTGCTCTAATGGTGTCCATTTTTCTTTCTAATACAGAGGCATTTAAGCGTTACTTTTTGACCTCTTACAAAACAGAGGGCAAAAAAAGGCTGGAAAGTACGAGGAACTTGAAAGAAAGTGCAGGCGACAAGGAAGAGAAAGAGAGGTGAGATTTTAGTAAACACTCTTTACTCATAAAACAATTACATTTGGGTATGAGGATGGGAGGGGGTGCATCCTGTAAAGTTTTGAATCTGTTGAGTGAAAGAAGAAAGAGTGAAAAGGGGCCAATAAAATTTGTTTCTTTCCTACGTAATAGCATAATCTTCATGGGTGACCATCATGTCAACAAAAATTGGAAATGTGTATTTCCAAACTTATCTCACCGGATAAGGAGGGAAGGTGCAAGATAATTTGTTATTCTCTGTCTCCTTTTTGATTCCGTATAACTAACATTTAACAGCAAGCCTTTCAGGAAGCATTTTGTATATAATTTCCAGACTCAAATTAACTTACAGCTATGGCTATCACGGCATACTAAATCTCAAATCTCATTTGTTCAGTAATTTTAAATTTCATTCCTTTATTCAGTCTCCTGAATTAACAAGGCCATAAATTTTCAGGTAGAAAATCTGTCATGGTCATGCTACCTTTGCCAGCAGCATGTCTAAAGTACAGGTCACAGCCAAAAATTAACTCCTTGTTTCAAGACCTGTACCATGGTGATCAGTAATCCTACAAAGCTGTTAGAAGTAAAAGTATTTTAAACGTGTAGTGGCTCATTCATTCGCGCTATTGTTTGTTGATATTGCAGAAGCTAACTCAGAGAACCCTGGCCCTGGAGAAAACAACATGGGCAACCAGCAAAAAGGCACAGATGGCAAAAATTTTATCAGAGGTTTATATGTCCTCTGAAGAGAGGGATGTGGAAGGCAATTTCACGGTCAAAGAGCTTGCGTGGGAGAGTAGAAAACTCCAGAAAAGAGAGAAGCAGTTGGTTTATTTCATAATAAACAATACAGCAAGTGCATAAAGGAGTGCCTTCTGAAGAGAGTTCAGGGTGAAGGACTCTCGGCACAGGAAAAGCCAGTTGATTGCCCAGATTGGGCGTGTATAAACAGGAATAATAGTTTCTCTGTTAATATTCATGGTTGAGCTCTAGTAGAGCTCGGTGGCTCCTGGCACCCAACTTTTGCTTTAGGGGTCCTAGAAAATCTCAGTTTTTTCTTTCAAGTCACAGGATTTTACTGGTTGAGAGCACTGGGCTTTTCTCAATTTTACTTAGAGCTCAGCCTTGAGTCTACTTCACAGTCATTCTGATCCTTCATAGGTTACGATTGTGCGAATTAAGATAGTGTGACATTTAAAACTGCTATGTGTTCAGTATTTTATGCTGGCTGTGAAAGCTGAAATTCCTCTCATCATTTATCATCACCTCAAGCTACGATTGCTTAAATAATTTATAACTTTCAGAATTATGACATTTTTTGAGTTGTGCTCAAAGTTTTGAACGAAGTATTGTAACTTTAATTTACACATAAACAACTTACCACTGTCATACAGTTGTTGTGCGCATGTGATACACATGTGACATCTTTGCCATTCCACAAGGAACGCGAAGGGCTCAATTGGCAGAGTTGGGCCTGATTAGTGACGTGAGCCTTAATAATACGTGGGACAAGGCAGCAGTTGCAAGTGAAATCTTGAGTATATTTAAGATAGCTTTTCATTTGGAAGACGATGAGGAAGTGCCCTTTCAGTATTTAAGGTACGTCCAGTCAATAATTACATGATTTTCGGGGTTTTCTTTAACCAGCTGTGAAACTTCTAACATGTTGTAGATTTAACTCCACCGTCACTGAATTAATGCTGGCTGGTAAGAAAATTATTTTGCTCGCAGAATGATAACAAGACTGCTACCTTAGTAATATATTATTCATCCAATCTTGTTATA